ATTACATTAACTTTAATTTAATATATATATATATATATAAGTGTCAGACTTTCCGGAACACTTTCAAAATTGAATCCCCCCCTGTAGGAAGGTAATGAGTCATATATAAAAAAAATATATACCAAATAAAAAGTAATGATTTCATGCATTTATATAAAAAAAATTATATTGATTTGATTATTTTTAAAAAAGTTATAGTAATTCTTAGTAAAAAAAATTGAAAAAATTTCGAAAATTAGCGATTTTTAAATTTGTAATTTTTTTGGAGGTTTCCCTCATTTACGGGGAACGAGGGAAAATTTTTCAATTTTTGAGGGTAATGTCTTCGACTAGATACGATTTTTGATTTTTTGACGTATCGTTGAAAGAAATCCGTTCGGTTAGAGCTCAGAAAAAGTGGTAACAAACACAAAAAAAAAAAATAATAAACACATTTTAGTAAAACCAATACCTTTTCAGCTTCGCATCGAAGCTAAAAATGAGATTTTGAATAGTTTTTCTTTTTTAATTTTAGGAACATTGTATTAGTTTTAATTTTATAAAGGCCTAAAATTTTTGGAACATTTTGATATAATTTTAAGACTTTGCAGTAGCTTGGTTAATGATTGGATTTTCAAAAACTGTATGTCGCCAGCAAATAAAACATTTAAAGTATTTCAATAATAATTGTAAAATTATTATTGAAATAATTCACCGTTCATTTTTCAAAAAGTTATTTCATATGAAATTAAAATTAAAATATCAACATTGACTTTTTATAATAAATATATTTTTTCCTTTATAATGGAGATTGAGAGGGATAATCAAAATTATATTGCTATAATTTTGAAATATTCCTCTCAACTATAATAATGATAGCTTCAAATAGATACATTTTGTATTCTTTAAGCAAAATCGTTATAGTAGGAGCGGAGTAATCATATATAATGACACAATAACAAAACATGACAAAGTAAAACCCAATACCTTTTTAACTAAGCATCGAAGCTAAAATAAATTTTAAATATTTTTATTTAACATACTTGATTTTTTTCTGCAATTAGGACAACAACAATATTTTTCAGGCGGCTCAACAATGTCTGACTGTAAAACGCTAAAAGAATCAGTCTGCAGAATATTTTGATCATTGACATTTTTATTATTGACTTCAGGGGTATCTACACGGTCTAACACCTCAACAATGGCTTTGTTAAATGGCCGTCCCAAAGAACCATTTAGCCCTGAAGTATGATCATGCTCAGAATTTTCTGTCATCGATTCTTTATTGATACCATCTTTAGGAGTTATATTATTATATGTAAGTATTTTAGCTTTTTTACTTTCTCCGCTATCTTTATTTGTGTCATTCAATTTTTTCATGTTATTTTTCAATAAAAATTTCGTATTATTATCATTATTTTCTTTTAATTGAGATTGATTTTCATAATTATGGTTATCTATAACTTCAGTAATTGCNCATAATTATGGTTGTCTATAACTTCAGTAATCGCATTGTTTTTAATATTACTTTTTTCAAATGAATTAACTTTATTACTAACTGTGGAATCTTCAGAACTCGTTATCTTTATAGCCGTCTCTTTCAGTATGTCTTTTTCAGTTACTGCTATGTCTTGGCTAAAATCGGTCGGAGAAACAAAATCTTCTTGCCCTTTTAATTGTTCTGCTATACTTGAATTTCCTAATGTTTCTGACTTTTTATCTGTTTTTAGATCAATAGACTTTGTAGAAAATGTAACTGTTTTATTACCGCCTAATGAAGTAGATCCTACTATAGTTTTCTCTTTTAATACTATTGGAGAAACTTTTGCGTTTTTTTTATTTGAGTCTCGCATAGATCCTCTCTCTGTTTTTTGGTTAGCTTCTATGTGATAAGCTGTCTGTTCAATATTTTTATCCATTTCCGTATCAGAAATTGTTATTGCTTTTTGGTTCGATGTTGACACTGTTATTTTATTTTTAATCACATCTACATCAGAATTAGCATTTGTAATTTCACCATAATTTATGACGTCGCCTTCATAATGGGATTCGAACTCTGCACTGGGATGTTCATTTAATTCATTATAATTGCTGTAAAAACAAAAAAAAACATTTTTTAAAAAAATTTTTGAGATTCTAATAAACCTATAAATTTCTTTTTAATGGGAATATTAAAATTTTAAAGAAATCTATAGACATACAAAAGTAAGAGAGAAAAGGACTAAAGATTATCATTATATAAGGTGTATTAAAAATGTTGATAATAGGAAACTCTCGAATGATGATGATGTAAAAAAAAGATGAAAAGAGTATTTTGAAAAATTACTGAATGAGGAGTATCCAAAAGATTTAATTAGTGATAATGAGGTATCGGAGGCTGTGGCATCAATGAAAAAGAATAAAGGAGTGGGACCAGATGAAGTGCCAGTAGAAGTATGGAAAATATTAGGCTAATAAAAATAGGAAAATAATATGGCTTCTTCAATTTTATAAAACTAGAACATTTTTTTAAAAATAACGTAATTTTATGACAAAATATAAACATTTATCCACAGTACTTTTTAATCGTCTTTAACTTAAACTATAAATTATTGATAGTATAATAATATAGTAAGAATAATAAAGAATTAAAAACATAATTTTACAGTAATGAAGTTAAAAGAAACCCAGCACAGTGGGGACGTGGCATAGTTGGGTCCAGTATAAATTTAAATTGATAAAGTTAAGTTTCGTATAAATGTTGTCATTTTGAATTCCCATCTGTGGGCCGGTGAAGGGTCAGATTAAAAAAAAAAACCTAGCACAGGGTGGTCGCATCACAGTGGTGACGTGGCCTAGTTGGGTCAACTATAATGATATCTGACAGCGATTAAAATCATTGTCATAAAAATCGCTTCGATGCAAATCTTTATATAGTGTTTAATTTAAAAAAATGGTGGACTATTCCAAAAGCTACATGATCTGCTATTTCCTTATTTATATCCTGATTAAGATAAAATATTTCGAATGAAAGAGGAATATAAATATTGAATCCCCCCCTGTGGGCAGGTAAAGGGTCAGATTTATAAAAGAAATATACCAAATGATAGGTAATGACATCATGCATCTATAAAAAATAATTATATTGATCCACTCATTTTTCAAAAAGTTAGAGCATTATAAAGTTAAAAATATAAAAAATAATTTTTATACAAAAATCATATTTTTTTCATTAACTCTGAAAAATAATTGAAAAAATTTCGAAAATTAGCGATTTTTAAATTTGTAATTTTTTTGTGAGGTTTTCCCCATTTACAGGGAACAAGGGAATTTTTTCAATTTTGCAGGGTAATGTCTTCGACTAATTTTTTTATTAACTTTGATGTCTGTTTTCACCATTAAGACAAAATGAAGTCCGAAATATTTTTTTTCTATAATAAAGAACATTACTTTAACATTAATTTAAGATATATATAAAAGTGTCAGACTTTCCGAAACACTTTCAAAAGTTAAGTCAAAAAGTTCTACTTACTATATGCANATATTACATTAGCTTTAATTTAAGATATATATAAAAGTGTCAGACATTCCGGAACACTTTCAAAAGTTAAGTCAAAAATTTCTACTTACTATATGCATTTTTTAGATTTGTACCCCCCTCGTACATAGGGAAATGATCCGATTTAAAAAAAAAGTATGTCGAGTGAAAGAAATATATAAATATTATTTCTTATAAAAAAATATGTATTGATCCATACATTTTTCAATAAGTTATAGCATTATAAAGTTAAAAATGTAAAAAATTAAATCAAGAATTTTCACACAAAAATCCGTAACATTTTCTAAAATTAAGTTGAAAATGTTAATTTTTTGTGAAAAAGTTGTCATTTTAAAACCCCCCCTGTAGACATGTAAAGGGTTACATTAAAAAAAAAATATACTAAATGAATCAATTTTCACCATGAAGACAAAAAAAAGTCCGAAATATTTCTTTTCCATAATAAAGTACATTACTTTAGCTTTAATTTAAGATATATATAAAAGTGTAAGACTTTCCAGAACACTTTCAAACGTTAAGTCGAAAAAGTAAATTTTTTGTGAAAAAGTTGTCATTTTGAATCCCCCCTGTAGGCATATACAGAGTCAGATTTATAAAGAAAATAAACCAAATAATAGTTAAAGACATCATGCATCAATAAAAAAAAGAATTATATTGATCCATACATCTTTCAAAATAGCATTTTATAGCATTATAAAGTTAAGAATATAAAAAACCCAGCACAGGGGGGTCGCGGCACAGTGGTGACGTGGCATAGTTGGATCAAGTATATCTGACAGTGATTAAAATCACTATAAAAAAAAAACGCTTCGATGCAAATCTTTAGATAGTGTTTAATTTTAAAAAATTGGTGGATTATTCCAAAAGCTACATAAACTGCTAGTTCCTTATTAATATCCTGATTAAGACAAAGTATGTCGAATAAAAAAGAGATTATTAGAAAATAGTATTTCCCATAAAAAAATTATATTGATCAATACACTTTTCAATAAGTTATAGCATTATAA